TTTAAGTAATAGATAACTTTTTCCGTGTTTACATAGCCTGATGCAAACACGAGGGTAGGTTGGGAGAATTCGAGACGGTTATGCAAACCCGAGACGAAGTCGAGGTTTGCATAAACATCGAGAATTCTCCCAACCTGCCCGAGAAAGGCGAAGTTGGCAGGTTTGACAAAATGTAAAAAAAATAGCGGACGACGGCGGGCGACTTTCTTTCTTTCTTTTTGCATCAAAATTGCCTTTTTAGTGACCTTAGATGAATCATAAACTATGTGGTCTTTGAGGAGAAAGGGTGCATGTKTGTYAAAAGGTYAACTGGACGCAAAAAAAATTAGAAAAAGGTAGGTAAAACCAGCAACGGAATATGTCCTGCTTTCGCTGAATGAAAACATTTACATCTTCGTCGATTCACTAATTTGAAGTAAAACTTTATGTTACGTTTAATTTCCTTTCAGAATTGGTATGGAAATTATATCAAGATGAGATTTTTGAAAAACTGCTTAAATTTAAGTAACTTACGGAGGTACGTACCTCCGTAAGTTACTTAAATTTAAGTAAATTACGGAGGTACGTTACAAAATACCAAAAAAAATCGCTAAATAGTCGTCCAAATGACCTGAAACTTCACACGAAGAGCAAGGACAATAAAAGAGACAACGTAGGATGTTTTTTTAATKCTYTTTTTACATWTTCATCAAATTCAGCTAAAAGCCGCCAAGTGTAGAGCTTGGGCTACCTGTGGTTTGATTAGCCGCTTCGACGTGCCGGGACTTCAGCATCACCGACGAAAAAATTCACAAAGCCACAAATAACACATGAAAGCATTGGTCGTATGAACTCCGTTTCATGGATAAGAAGGTGGAATTCATGTTCATAGAGATTTTTTATTGAACTGGTATCTGGTAACAATATCAAACTGAAGATAATTTTATGCGAGCGATGCATGAACTGCAATGACAACAAACCGTACGAAAATATTCCCAAAGCTACAAATAAAGACCTTGTTCGGATAAATTACGTTTAATAAATAAGCTGGTATTCATATTTTTAGGTTAAACTAGTAGCTTGTTTATCGTGTACTTGTATGTAACGAATTTATAAAGAGAATCATTATAAACAATCGTTGAACTGAAAGAAATCTCGATTCTCAAGCGCAAATCGACATATTCTTGTAGTACTTTTCTTAAGTAGTATCTCAATAAAATGCAAAATACTCACTAAATTCCTCAATTTTTAACTTCATAGAAAAATGTAACTTGCTTTTCACACGTTATTTACAATAATAAAGGTGCAGTTAAGCTTATTACGTTTTAGATTTTTCACTTCCAGTTTCTTGTTGCTTTGTTTATCTATTGTTTATACCGAAGATTCTATGCACTCAAAAACTACAAGATATAGTAAAACTTCATGCAGAATACTCATAACTAGTTGTTGCCAAGTTTTCGGATACATTTTTGTATAAATAGCTGATTTTTTTCCTATTCTACTTCTAGTTTTGAATCGCACTT